TGAAAACCCTCCCTTAGGGCCCTTTTCCTGTCATGCGTATTTTCGCACGCGCGCGGATCTGGTCCGCATGCGGGCCGCACGCATCTTATCTTTTGATACATGTTTTTCCTATCATGCGGCTAGCACGCGCGCGGAACGCGGATTGACACAAACGAAATCCCTGTCCTGAGTGTGACCAGGAGCGTGCTATCATCCGCATGCGGACCAGATCCGCGCGCGTGCGAAAATACGCATGACAGGAAAAGGGCCCTTAGTCGCTTCTTATGTCAGCTGCGGGAAAGAAATGGGTTGACGCTATTCTAAGTCGACATAACACGGCAAATATACAAAACATGATTAGACTAAATAATACAGAGAAGAAATACAAAGTTCAGTCAGAAGAGAAACCATTATTAATGAAGTTAATTTACGACAGGCATATGCCGAAATGGCTGCCGAAAAGTTTGATGGAAAGATAACTTTTAATGGAAGGTTCGACATATTTGGCAGCGTTTTATCTGCAAAAGGCATCCGTAATACACAGCTCAACATTGTCTATTGATTTGTTTATAGGACTGCTTAACTTTAAATCAACAAAAAATGCTGGTTTAAACTGTTTAAGGCGCAAGCTCCACAGAGGCGACGTGAAAAGTAGACGTGCGACATCGCGACGCTTGAAACCGTTTCCATATAAAAAAATGATATCGGCATCGACAACGGCAGATGATCTCTTGTCTGACAGATGCCATCCCACGCGTCACGTCGCACGTCTCCTCTGTGGAATTTGCGAATTGAACTTTCGCGGTCACACATTGTAATAATGAATAATTCGAACATCGTCATACGTAATAAGAAGAATCCCGCGACTTTAGTTGGTCTGGATTTAAAACTATCTAGATCTAGTCTGTCAATTATAAAATAACCATAGACAAAGTAAGCAGGGTATGATTAAAGCCAGATATGTTTTAGTTATTCATTTATGTGATCGAGTTTTCTATTTCTAATATAATTTCGAATGCGAAAGGCTGTACTCGTGTCTTGTTTTCACTAGAATTCGTTTATATTACTTTCATGTGTTAACGGATCTACATGGTTCTACACGTGTTATACGTACGAGCAGCGTTAAGACAATCCTTGGCAAACTTTCGTATGCGGAAAGGTTTCAAAAATACGTTCCATGATCACGATATGACGTGTCATTCGATCACGTGCTACCTACGGCACAACGCCTTTTGTGGCTTCTGAATGTCTGTTTAATTCATTCCCCTTTTGATACAAATAATACTTACCATACCAAAGCAAGTTAGGATCATGTATAAACATTTATAGCTACAACAGTCAAATGTGTAAAGATGTAAAACGAAAATTAAAGATATTTCTTTGGGTAAATCACTCTACAAAACCAACTTTTCCCAGCAAGGATAGGTCGAAATTTAATATACAAGATGTTGCTTGGGGAAAGTTGTCCAGTTTCATGGGCTGGTTTACCCCTTAAAATAAGTGCAGTTCATTTTTATTTTATTTACATCTTATACACCTATTTATTTCATATTTTGACGAATAGTTTCTAATAAAAGTTGATCAGTTTTGCGAGTAGAACACGGCCTTAATTTGCATTTATTCAAAAGTAACTCGTATATCACAACACAATATTTTCAGCAATTTTTTTGCATCTGTGTGGTGTTCATTTGGCGGGTCTGTTGCCACGACTAGACGATGTGAATAATTTAATGATTTAGGTGGGACATTGACCGGACTCGGGAATTTTTCATAATTGAATATCAAGGCTGGGAATAATGTATTTGCTTTGCAAACAAAAAGTTTTCCTGAATATAAACTTTTATCTTTTACCTGTCACATTGTCACACGAAGTTATGATAATTTATACGAACAATTCGTAGCACGATTTGAGCCTGCGATTTGAGGCTCAAATCCTGCCTGCGGTGAAAATTTTGGAAGTTTTCCAAAAATTGTTTACCTAACACGAGAAGTGTTTTAAAATTTGGTATTCAATTCGTAGCACGTTGTGATTCTAGCTTCAAACTTGGAAGAAACAGCCCTGGCTGTAATTCGCTTATCTTCTTAATGTTGAATCCGTCTTGACAAAAAAATCCCTGCTTGAACACGCTGGTCATCTAGAAACCAATGTATGAATTACCGGCAATAAGTAACCACAAACTTTATTTAAAACTAACAAAATAGAAAGGAATTGGTATCCATGAGTTATCTATGCCAATTTCGGCATACATAACTAAAGCTAAGCTAAAGCTTTATTGATCCTAAAAACTCTTTGTTGCCAGTAATAAAATTGTCATACATTCATAATGTGATTTTCCAATCACTTGTAGTGATTTTTTTTCACTAAGCAGCGCTAATGTAGCTGACGTTTTAAGTTTAGGCCATCTTATATACCCAACAACTGTCCTACGCTGACAGAGTCCATAATACCAAAAATTTAATTGAATTGAATACCCAACAACCTAACGAATCGAACTGAAAAGTATATATTTTTTTGTATGTTATGTTATAAAAATCTTATCATAGAACTGGCACTCACATTAATGTAACAAATATTCAATAAACTGTCTTAATTTGTAGCTAAGAATCATTTTTTGAGCCTAATCCTTCACTGTCTGCAGGTGGTAAAGACGCGCGCAAGGGCGGCGTGTCTACAGGCGGGGGTTACAATGAAGAGGGCCTCTCGGTGCAAGAGACGGCGGCTGTCTTCGCCAACTTCGAGTTCCTGGCCAACCAGGAGATGGACATGGACGAGATCGATGACCTCGACGCCAAGCAGGCGCATCACAACCAGGGCAAGCAAGGTACGACAGTTTATAATTACAGATTCATCTACATATGGGTGGGGGCTACAATAGGCCTCTCGGTGCAAGAGACCGCGGCTGACTTCGCCAACTTCGAGTTTCTGGCCAACCAGGAGATGGACATGGACGAGATCGATGACCTCGACGCCAAGCAGGCGCATCACAACCAGGGCAAGCAAGGTACGACAGTTTATAATTACAGATTCATCTACATATGGGTGGGGCTTACAATGAAGAGGCCTCTCGGTGCAAGAGACCGCGGCAGTATTCGCCAACTTTGAGTTCCTAGCCAACCAGCAGATGGACATGGACGAGATCGATGACCTCGACGCCAAGCAGGCGTATCACAACCAGGGCAAGCAAGGTACGACAGTCTATAATTACAGATTCATCTATATACATATGGGTGGTGGGTACAACAGGCCTCTCTGTGCAAGAGACCGCGGCCGTATTCGCCAATTTCGAGTTCCTGGCCAACCAGGAGATGGACATGGACGTGATCGATGACCTCGACGCCAAGCAGGCGCATCACAACCAGGGCAAGCAAGGTACGACAGTTCATAATTACAGATTCATCTATATATGGGTGGGGGGGTACAATAGGTCTCTGGGTGCAAGAGACCGCGGCCGTATTTGCCAATTTCGAGTTCCTGGCCAACCAGGAGATGGACATGGACGAGATAGATGACCTCGACGCCAAGCAGGCGCATCACAACCAGGGCCAGCAAGGTACGATATTATTATGTAACATTCATCTTGGTGGTATTTAAAATAGGTAAAAATATGAACCATCCCATTATAAGTGGTGTTTTCTAATGAATCAAACTTCTTGCTTTAGTCTTGAAGACTAGATGCAAAAGAGTGTTTGTTTGTTTGTCCTTCTTTTGTCTTCACAACGGGGTGTTTTTATTACTAAACCATAATTTGTTTGGCTATTTTCACCGTGAAATAACATCTCATTCTCAGGAGAAAATCAAATGCAAATAAAACGCTGAGTGGAAAGCCAGTTGTATTATTAGGATTCTCAAGTAGTTTTACTTTATTCAAACGTTAATGTTCAAATGATAAAACCCCACAGGCGAAGAAGTAGACCACGAAGCGGAAGAGGTCCTGAACGAGCTGAACTTGCTGACCGAGAGCGAACCGGACGACGGCGGACAAGGCGACGAATACGGTAGTGCGGGTACGTACACTACACACACCGTACACATACGCACACAGCATCAAATCCACTTTGTCTTTGCATAAATGTGTGCCACATCAGGGCAGGTATTCATTCGGCAACTTTGACGTATATCAACAACTTCACGCGTGTTACGCGGCAATTTCACGTTTGTTGCTGGCGGAGATACCGACATTGTATCCACATTGGTGTGGTGAACTAGTGTGGATGGTGTTTGTTCATCAACATTGTCCCGCGGCAACAAAAGCTGCGAAAACTGAGCAGCTTTTGTTTTGTATCTTACAATCTAGATCACTAATGTTGATAAACAATGTTGCTAAATGAATACGCGCCTACAACCGTCACAACACCCCTCTGGCAAGAGAAAATTAATAAAAATCTAGCTTGAATTTTAGACACTAAAAAGAAACACAATCCACTGCTGGCCATAGACTACCAAGCGTTTGCCAGACGTAGCCCAAGCGGGGATTTATCCTTTTGTTGCATTTTGCACACATGAGTAAAAACTGGTGCAACTGTAATATTGGGAAAACAATACATTAAGACAATGATGGACAATGCAATATACATTACATTAAGACGTGCTAAAATAATGTGTTTCTTTTTTTAATAACAGTACACTTATTGATTAATCTTTTCTTTTACTAGATTGTATTCGCATGTTGAATTGTTGATGTAATCTCAATGTATCAATATTCTTATTGTCTATTTTGTAATTTACTTGTTATGAGACAGATTAATTAGTGATTACATAACCATCTGTTTTCTAAGAGAGTTTATTGTGTAACAAGTAACTTTCCCCAAACTTGAAGACTCACAAATTGTTGTTTTGTGTTTGAAGTTTGTTCCGTTTTTTTGTTTAGTTGAGCTTGTTCTGTACTTAACAAATTGCTTGTTCGTGACCTAGTAACTTATTCAATTAAACAGTGCGTATTCTTTTCTATCCAAAGTAATCGTGTCGGGTTTTCATATAAACGATAGCTTATTCTTATAAAACGAAATTAAAAAAATTGTCAAGCGTCGACCAGGAATCGAACCCTGGGCCTGTATGGTACCGTCCCACTGCTCTGCCACTGAGCTATCGACGCACCGGTTCACTCTTTTCAAATTTTCTACCTCTTGAAGCGACTTTCTAGCGACGTCTAGTAGAAAATATTTACACCTTTACTCCCGGTCGACGCTTAACATTTTTTCAATTTCTTATCTTCATTTTATGAGAATAATTATAGCACTGTAAGTGCATTAAAAATACCAATAAACGGATTTATTTATGTCTACAGTTTATGTGAAAATTTGTGTCGTCTCGGAAAGAAAACGCGTTTATTTTGATTAACGTTATGTTTTAAAATCTGTCTAAAAAGTCCTGATATTAAATGAAATAGATCTAGAATTATTTCATACAAAATATTTACCATTTATAGTCAATTTTGCCCTTTAAACTCATTTTTTGTCAGGACTTTATAGACGTACGTGTCTTACCCAATAAACCATACCTGTCGCTCGTCTACCCTCACCCAGCATGGTGTAAAACTAACCCAGCATGCTCGCATGAACGTTGTCTCATGTGTTGCAGTGAAATTCCCAGGGGGCGCGAGCGTGCCCGCCACCGCCACCGCCGCGACAGGGGGCGCCGGCGAGGCTGACGAGGAGCCCCTAGCCCTCGGGGAGCTGGCTCAGCTGACCGTCAGCAACGAGCCGGAGGCCTACGACGTCAACAGCGCCAACAAGGAGTCGTTCCGCAAGACTTGGAACGCCAAGTACACGCTGCGCTCGCACTTTGACGGGGTCAGTATACCTTGTAACTACCCTACTGTCTCATACAGCAGTCTATAGCTGACCGTCAGCAACGAGCCGGAGGCCTACGACGTCAACAGCGCCAACAAGGAGTCGTTCCGCAAGACTTGGAACGCCAAGTACACGCTGCGCTCGCACTTTGACGGGGTCAGTATACTTTGTGTTTCAACTTGATTTAATATGAGGCAAGGGACCCCTAGTTCTGGGTAACTTCGTCAGCTGATGATCGTGAGGAACGAATTTGAGGATTCTAGTGGAGATTGTTCTTGCGTGAAGTTATGAGATAATTTCAAACCATTGTTATTCAGGACTGGTGTAAAGTAAAAGTTACTTTAGAGTAATGAATTGGGAGAGATGACGAGTCGGGCAGATATTTCTATCTAACATGCAAGAAATAAAGTTGCTACGACTTATAAATAAAACAATCTTAATTTCGCAAGACATGGAGGTGTGATAATGTGTAATCTTAATTTCTTTTTAGACAAATTTTCAAAAATATAATTCTCATGCATTACAGGTGCGAGCGCTAGCCTTCCACCCGACGGAGGCGGCGCTAGTGACGGCCTCCGAGGACCACACGCTGAAGCTGTGGAACCTGCAGCGCACCGTGCCGGCCAAGAAGTCCGCCGGGCTGGACGTGGAGCCCCTCTACACCTTCCGCGCGCACACCGCGCCAGTACTCTGCCTCGCCATGGGCGCGCCCAGGTCAGTACACTCCTCCCGGTCCAATAAGCCGGCCTCGACAGTCCCTCACCTTCCAGCCGACGGAGGCGGCGCTAGTAACAGCCTCTGAGGACCACACGCTGAAGCTGTGGAACCTGCAGCGCACCGTGCCGGCCAAGAAATCAGCAGGGCTGGACGTGGAGCCCCTCTACACCTTCCGCGCGCACACCGCGCCAGTACTCTGCCTCGCCATGGGCGCGCCCAGGTCAGTATACTCCGCCCGCTGCAACAAGTAGTCTTCGACAGCCCCTCACCTTCCTCCCGACGGAGGCGGCGCTAGTGACGGCTTCAGAGGACCACACGCTGCAGCTGTGGAATTTACAGTGTACCGTCCCGGCCAAGAAGTCCGCCGGGCTGGACGTGGAGCCCCTCTACACCTTCCGCGCGCACACCGCGCCGGTACTCTGCCTCGCCATGGGCGCGCCCAGGTCAGTACACTCCGCCCGCTGCAACAAGCCGGCCTCGACAGCCCCTCACCTTCCACCCGACGGAGGCGGCGCTAGTAACAGCCTCTGAGGACCACACGCTGAAGCTGTGGAACCTGCAGCGCACCGTGCCGGCCAAGAAGTCAGCCGGGCTGGACGTGGAGCCCCTCTACACCTTCCGCGCGCACACCGCGCCAGTACTCTGCCTCGCCATGGGCGCGCCCAGGTCAGTACACTCCGCCCGCTGCAACAAGCCGGCCTCGACAGCCTCTCACCTTCCATCCTACCGATGCGGCACTAGTGGCGGCCTCTGAGGACCACACGCTGAAGCTGTGGAACCTGCAGCGCACCGTGCCCGCCAAGAAGTCCGCCGGGCTGGACGTGGAGCCCCTCTACACCTTCCGCGCGCACACCGCGCCGGTACTCTGCCTCGCCATGGGCGCGCCCAGGTCAGTACAGTTCACTGCTGGACATCGGCCTTCTTTGAGTGGTATGTGTCAGATCAGGCTCGCTGCCTTCCACCCGATGGAAGCCGCACTAGTGACAGCCTCGGAGGACCACACGCTGAAGCTGTGGAACCTACAGTACACTGTTGTAGTCCACTACTGGACATGGGCCACCCCTTTCTCCCCAAATATTTCAGCGCGCGAAACATACTTTTCCCTTCCATGACAAATACACACTTACTCCTGCCCCCCCTCAAAGAAGGTTACACACATCTCCGCCCGCCACACATACTCCTGCCCCCAATAGGGTTACAAACATATTATCACATCACGGTTTGGCATGTGAAGTGCCAACTCATGACATCACCACACACAATCCGGTATGCTACCTATCAATCATCATCAGTATTAGCAGCATCAGCCATGACGCCCATGACATGAGGCGTCCACAGTTGGATATATGTCTTCTTCAGGTGCTTTTGAAGCTCTCAAGCATGTTTAGACTGATTTTCATGATCATGATCTATTGGATGCAATGGCAATCTCTTCAGCCCAATCTCCTCAGAGTAAACGTGAGAAATGAGACGTGAGAAGTAAGATGTGCGACGCTTGAAACCGTTTCCATATAAAATGTATGAAACGGAAGAGACAAAGCTACACACGTGAGACGCGCTTCGATGACGGCTGACGATCACTTGTCTGACAGATGTTATCTTTCGTTATATGTCTCACATCTACTCTATGTAGCTTGCGCCTTTGTTAGATGAATCTAAAGACAACTTTCACAAAGTCGACCGTCCGCCCATCACAATGTTAGTCAGAAAAGTGCTAGTTATTTTTCTTTTGATAAATTCTCTTGACATTTCAATTAGTGAATAACCATTTATGTATTTTATTTTTTTTAGATCTGAGGAATGTTTCTCCGGGGGTCTAGACGGGACCATCCGTGTGTGGAACCTCCCCCCGCCCACCGCTGACCCGTACGACCCGTACGACCCCGCCGTGCAGGTCAGTGACCTTTGACCTATGTCATTTTATACAGACCTGTTGGATTTCATTGACTGAGATTTATTTTGCTTGTAGGAAGTTTTTATTTTGGGAATCGGTCATTTCGTCGTATTTCGCCTGGATTAGTTTGTTCAATAGAAAGGTCAACAACAGGTGGACAACAGAGACAACTGGTGGTTGGTTACCCTACCGATAAGAGCAATGAGCTCTTAAATAGCTCTATAAGAAGAAGAAGAAAAAGTTTGTTCAATAATCACCTATTTATTTACGCAGATTGAAATATCCACATTTATGTCGTATGGCGCCAACTTAGAATAGCATCACTCCATATCTTTGACGTGGGTATCGTAAGAAGCGACTAATGAATTTGAGACAATTGCAATTTTAGTCGACAGGCTGACAAACTGTCACGAAGCGGTACACAGTCTTCCGAATGACTTTCAAACTTTTGCTAGGCCGTTTCATACATGCGCTCTACCTACTCCGTAAGCGATATACCCCGCTCAAATGTCATAATATAGATATAAATAGAGAGGCAATGTTGGTAATTAGAAATATTTTCTTTTACGGCTACAGTTATTATAAGTATGTGGAAGAAGAAGTTTGTTAAAACACCTATTTCTTTTCGAATATTTAATGAGTTTTTTTTTTGCAGGGCCCCGTGCTGCGGGACCATACGGACGCAGTATGGTCGCTAGCGAGCGCGCACGGCCGCCTGCTGTCGTCGTCGGCCGACGGCACCGCCCGGCTGTGGGCGCCCCGCGCCGCGCGACCCTTGCTGCAGACGCTCAGGTACCAGCAGACTGTGTGTATAGTAGAGTATATCATACGGACGCAGTATGGTCGCTAGCGAGCGCGCACGGCCGCCTGCTGTCGTCGTCGGCCGACGGCACCGCCCGGCTGTGGGCGCCCCGCGCCGCGCGACCCTTGCTGCAGACACTCAGGTAATAGGAGGTTGCATGTCAGAGGCCTAGACAACCATGTCAGAGGACTAGGCTTCCATCTCACAGGCCTAGGCAACCATGTCAGAGGCCTACGCAACTATCTCAGACGCCTAGGCAACCATGATAGAGACCTAGGCAGGCATGCTAATGGGAAAGTGTCCCGAGTTCGTCTCTATGGAGGAGGAGACGAGTTCCCAGATGACGGGTTCATCGAGGACGGTTTCCCATATTAGCGGGCGGGACCTGTCCAATGACTTTGACACGTGAAGCGCGCGCTTTTACGGACATTTGAGATTTCGTTCAATTTCCAATGTCTATAACTTTGCGACAATACCGAATTCAAAAAAACATTTGTATTTCGTAACACCTAGGAAGTTTCAAATGATTCTGCCAACCTACCAATTTTCCTTATAATAATTGTTGTTACCAGTTATTTCTCCTTTTTAGAGCCGATGACTCACCGAACGCGCCGATCCCCGCGGCGGCAGACTTCGCGGACGCGGGCGCGCGCGCCGCCGTCGTATATCGTGACGGCGCGCTGCTTATGTATGATCTGGAAACCGCGCAGGTGGGCAAACAGAACTTATATGTAGTTATACAAGGTGCTTGGAAGCATGATGTGAAGCCTTGAGAAGGTGGTAGAATGGACCCTTGCTATCACTAAGAACTCGACGAATCTTGTAAAAATGGGACTCATAAAAGTTGGAATAACGATTACCAATTGACATCGGGCCACTCCAATAAGTCA